TATTCAATTGCCCCAATCTCGAAGCTACTCGAAGCTGCAATCAGTGCCACACATAGGCATATTTATATGGCCACTCGAGGGAGTTCGAGTGGCTCGTAAGCCCCATCTGGCACACTCCTTTCCCCTTCGATCCTCACTCCCATCACCCCCATCCCACCACGAAAAGAGATAGCCATCGTGCCCCGGGGCCAACTGAGGGTTAGTTTAAGTTATACAACAATTGTTTGACACTTTTAAGTGCCTCGCTGACTTCGCTGGAAAGTAGTTCAGCAGTCTGTGTAAATATTACGGCAAACTGAAACAGAAACAGAAACCGAAACCGAACCAGTAAAAGATACAGATATTGCTATAGCAGAACCTCTCCAGCGGCATTTCTTAGATGTCCGAACAAACAACCCACTGAAGAAGGCCCAGATAACTTACCGAATGGATGCCATTATACCCATTCAGAAAGAGCTCTCTTTAAGGTATCTAAACCTATAATTGGGCATCAACCAATCAAAGTCACTGAGTATTAAGACTAGGATTAGACTTTGGTATATAGTATAGTTAGAAAACTTAAGATCTGTATTTCAATTTGAATATTTCCAAAACAACTAGCGGGTATTATAAAGTCGTCACATTCATGAATAACACTATACTCGATTCTGTTTGTTTAGGCCTGGAGTGACACTTATCTGTTCTGTGATCGGTTCAATGAGATCGGTAAGGGATTGACTTGCCGAGTTCGATAAGCCCCTATAAGTGCAAAACTCTTAGAATAAAACAAAAAACAAAAAACCAAATCTGCAATCGGTTTTCTCTATTTCCGTTCGGTTGAGTTCACCTTTGCAACTTCACCACATGGCTGTCTCATCCCAAATGGGTTTTCTTTTTATCGACTTCTAGACTTTCCACCTGTTCCCCGACTGTTCTTTCGATTGGAGGAGACAGAAATCAGGCTCTCCTTGGAAATATTGATAAGTTAACTAATCGCGGCTATTATTGTTGAAAAATGACATATCGGGAATTAGATTGTTTTATAATGACAGCATTTCCAGCATATACAGAAGTGGATCCCACGTGAATGGCTATACCAATAATAACACTTTGATTGTTTGGTATTGTCTCTGCCGCGATTATCTATAACTAGCGAAAAAAAAAACCCAGAGAGATAATTTCAGCTAAAATTAGTGGCTTACTCGATCATAGTTCGTGACTCATTCAAATGTTTGGTTGGATGGCAACAGAAACGAAAGAACAATAAGCTTAGACATGTAATTAAAGGTAACTAAAGGGTACTTTTAACAGCTTTTAACATAACCAAAACAACTTAAAAACATATATAATTGAGATCCATAATCACCCTAAAGCCTGGCTTTCGTTGCTAATAATGTGCGGTTGACTTTGCTGGCCAAAAAGGAAAAAACAAACAAACACAAAAAGATGGAATCAAAAATTCAAACAACTATATCCCGACTTGATTGAAAGGTAAATACTGCATAAATGGGGAGGAGAAATGGTTGGCAGTCGATGGACAAAGGATCCTGGCTTTATAGCCACCTGCTGGGACCACCTGTTTAGATATGCTTCGGACAAAGGAGTCCGGGCCAGCGCGAGACAAAGAGCATAGCGATGTGGAAAATAATCAGTGATAAAATAAGAGCATAAAAGGACCGCCACTGAAAAGTGGAGGGTTGAATTAAATTCGGAAGTGGTAGTGGAAATGCTGGTAAGAGTGGGAGTGGCACTTCTCAGGGGTTGAGCGGTATGAAAAGAAAAATTGTGTGCATTATCCAGCGGATTCATGTTAATAGGCCTCATTTAACGCTGCCTGGGGTAGATGGCTTCCCCTTTTTCTCTTTTTTGTTGGAAGACCTGCAATACCAATAAAACCATAAAAATCACTTCTTTCCCTCCCTCCACAAACATAGATCGGTTAGCAAAACCCATCGTACTCGTACTTCTTCAGCGAACACAGTTTCTGTTTCATGTTCTTGGTCTAGTCTTATCAATTGGTACATTCGGTGTTTGTATTCATACCCCCCATACCCCCGAGCTTGAGGGGCAGGCACCTTGTAACCGATGAAACAGAGTGTCAACAACAGTGTTGCCTTCTCAATGGGCAAATCTTGTACCAGACAATGATAAGAACTTTAGAGATACACCAATACATGGAAAAAAAAACGAGAAAACGAGAAGAATGCACACGTTGGGTATTTATAGATATACCCAGATACCCAGATACTTAGATACCTCGCGGTTAAAGCCTTATCAATGTTCAAGTTATATCGACTGAAAATGCCGTTCAAATATTTACACCCAGCAGCAAAACGATATATTCCCCGCCAACCCGAAGCTACTGCTCCAGAGTCCGGAGACAATGATAAGCGGGAGCGGACATGGGTGCGCTAATTGCGGAATGATAAAAAAAAACAGAAAGTAGCTAACCATGGCTGCTACCCCTGAAATTTCAGCCTCTTCTATTGGTAACTGCCACAGGGCTAGAAACCACGCAAATGAACCATCAACTCGGTTACCAACGCAAGGATTTTGGATTCAGTAGAATAATAAAAGCTCTTGGGAGGTTACTACTACTTTTGGTTAACCGAAATACAAATACACTTCTATAAAATGTTGAATAGAAGAAGTCATAGAAAAAGTTAATTAATAACTAAGAAATAAACTCTTCTTTTGATTACACATTAAAAACTTGAGAAATAATCTTTGATAAACTCATAAAACTCTTTTTAAGGGTATGAAAATTAAATAAAATAAGAAAAAATAAGAACACATCTCGGTTCACTTTGTTATTGCCAGCATTTTCGACTCGTATTTGCCTAAACCGGCCCCTAAGGAATACTACCAAGAAGCTCCTGCTGAACCCCAACACGTTGCTAGACAGCTCTACGGTGGATGGGGGAGGATGAGGATGGGAACGAGGATGATGTTCCTATCTCTCCGGGTTGTTGGCAGCTTCGAGCGTATTACATAAAATAAGAAAAATTATGATTTTCAGAAGAGAGGATGGTGGAGTGTGGAAATTCGAGGGGCTTTTGGCTGTTGCTTAACTGTCAAAATCGTGTAATTTAATAAAGTTCGCTGCGGGATATTGTTTTTTATAGAAGCCAGAGCAACATTGAGACAGCTTTTGCCAGCTGCCAAATGGGGAGTGGCTGGAAAATTGTGGCTGAGGGGGGGGGATGAATGTGGATGTGGAAATGTGTGGCTCCTCTAAGTGTGCTGCACAAATACAAAAATATTCAGTTCACTTTGGTTACATACAGCATTGCAACAGCGCAATGTTGCTGTCTTGCTGGCCCGCCACAGGCACTCTACAAACACACTCAAGGGGGACACACCCTATATATATATATATATATATGTGTATATCTGTAGAACTATATATATATATATTTGTATACATAGCTGCGCAATGTTTTCGTACCATCTCACTTGTTTACTGCAAAGCAGCGAAAAAAGTTTTTACTTTGCAAAATCTACAGAACTTGTGCGTTGCGGTGAGAGAGTGCAAGGCAATTCTGGAAAAGGGACAAAATCTAAATCAAATTTTCAACCAAGTTTTCTTTTTAAGCATTTTCATTCACTTTGTGTGTTTAATATATGATATCCTGATATCATATCTTAGGCTGATATATTTAGTAAGAGGAAATTTTGATGAGTCAAACCATTTCCCTCATTTGATTCCAAGAAATCTGTTGCTAAGTTGATTCTATTTTTAAGAATATTTAAAATTTTTTTAAGGCTTTTAAAACTTTAAGATTCTTATTATTAGATTTTGATATATACTTTTCCATTTCAAATATATATATTTTTATATTATTTTTCCCCATTTTAAACCTTATGATTTGGCAAGATTTTAGGCAATCCTGGCAAATGTAATTTCTAGCGAAATCCTTATTTCGAAACCTTTTCTAAAATCAATTATTTAAATTTCACACAAATATGTTATGCACCTTATTAAAGTCTAGTCCCAGATGTCTTGCTATTCTCAGCTGACGTCCCCCGACCATTTGTTTGGCGTTTATTTTTTACGAAGCGAAATTCCTATTTTATTTTATTAAGCAGCCAAGAAATATAAAAGTAAACAGTTGACTGCAAAAACACACATGACTGTGTACACCACCCTCCTGCTAAAAGTTTTTTTTTTTTTTAAGAGAAGAAAAAGCCAAAGACGGGCCTTTACCCCATAGAAACCCACGCCCACACGTTTCCAGAGTCATATGAACGCCCCATTATTTACTTAACATAACTTGAACATTCTCCTTCAACCCCCCCGACAAAAAAAAGAGAAAGAAATACCCTCCAAGGGGGAGCATCAGACGTAGAGAAAGAAAGAAAAATAACGAAGGTGGGTGGTTGGAAATTTGTGGGTGGCGAGGTAGTCGCTTGGCTTACCTGCCAGCCGGCAGTTGGCTAGTCAAAAAGCTGTCGTCGATGCTAAGCGCAGACCCAGAAAGCCATCAAATATGCAGGATGAGGAAATGTGCCAGGAGGAGGCAGCGCCAGCATCCGGAAAAATGGCGAAAAAATGATTTATGTGGACGCCATAAAGGAAGGAGCGGACGGAAAACGAAAAGCCAACAATAACTGGGAAAAATAACAGAATCAACTGATTTCTCAACTTGGCTCTGGGCCTGCTTTTGTTTGCCAGACTTTAGCTGGGGAGGCATTCTGATAGACCCACAATTTTACCTTCCATTCGGGACTTCATTCTTGTTTTTCCAGCAATGAAAAATGCTCAAAGTGTGCTTCACAGACAGCGGACTCCGATGGTATTGGGGTCACCGAAAAGGTATAAGATATTGATGTCCCCAGGGGGGGGCTTTGCTTTTGAAAAAGTAAGGAAATCTTATAGAAGGTAGATGGGATATTAATTCTCGTTCGAAGTTTGTATTTTCTAAGGGATAAGAGTTTTCACCTTAATTTTAAAAATAAAAAGTTAATATGTTTTAAGTTAAACAAGTAACCTTGACATTTTTGTCCTAGTTTGAGAAACATTCAGTTAACATTCCGTTGCCCCGTTTACTTAATCAAGGCACCCCATTTCGATAAAACTTCAAAATCAAAATCAAAATCAAATCAAAAAAAAAAAGGTAGGTAGAAAAATAATTCAAAATTAAGTTCGTTTCTGTTCAAACGGATTTATTTTCTCTCAGATGTCTGACATCAACTTGTCTGCCTACAACATCTTCCGACGTGATCTTTCCAGAATATTCAAGACTTTCAATTCGTATACCCAAACCGAGTTTACTGCTGATATTGGCACAAGCACCGAACTTGATTGCAAGTCTGATTTGGATTCGAATCTTTCGCAGATCTACGACCTGGAACTGGATTAATATAACTTCTTAGGTAAACAACTAACAAGATGCTAAAGCTAAACAAACTTAAACGATCGCAATCCGAAAACAACATTGAACCAAGGCTTCTGGATTCAGATCTAAGCACCAGATTCCATGATAAAGAAGAAGCTACCGAAAAGGCTACGGTTAATCGTTCTGGTCAACAGATGGAAAGATCAATTAGTTGGCCATCTATTCTGCACGAGATGCAATCAAGAACGAGTTCCATCTGCACTGATGATGACTTATCTGACTCGGAATCACTTTCCGACTCGGATTCCGATTCCGAGACTTCTGATTACACCCCCGAGAGTAGCTATCAATCGGCCACCGGATACGAGCGCATACCACAAACTAACGCTCTTTGGGAGGTTCATGTGGCCATCGATTCTTTTGCCAGTGAGAGTGATATTCAGGGCGTTCGTCAATATTTGCGAGAGTTGCTGACCAACGAGATGCGTTCGATCGGCAATGCAAACGGCCCTGTTATCTATCTTATAGCTTACACCTATATGTAGATGGCTTAGTGGACTTTCCCAAATTTATTGTGCCTCCTCTAGAGGAAACACTGATCCCAGCTTCAAAGAAGAAAAATACTGATTTTATAATTTATATTTAAATAAATTTCGGACAAGGCCAACACAGAAATAAAAAAGAAGTTGATGAAACTACTTATTGAAACACTTCCAGTATAAGAAAAACTTTACTCTTTGATCCAAACCTAATAGAGACCTTAAGCATAAAGCCAAACATTAAAAAACTCTTCAAAGAGCAATTTCGCCCTTTTTAAAAGTCATTTATTTAATCACTTTCCGCTTCAAATGGGTTCGCTAACTTTATTCAGCGCTTTCAATGGACAATCAGTTCTCGAATGAAGTGTTTGCTCTTACTGCGTGATCTGCGCCTGTTGACATTATGACAAATTACATAAGCTAAAGGCAACAATTGCCGAGAACCCATTCCGGAGTTCATAGAAGGGAAGGGGAAGGAAGGAAGTCAGGAAGGAAAGAACAAACCAAAAACGGATACGCTTAGCCGAATTTTGGAGTGGGTTTACGGGGGGGGCGGTTCAGGGTTGGATGGAGGGTTCCCTTAATAGGAAAGCCACACAAGAACTGCTAACGAAGGACACGCGGCCATCCGTTGAGCGACAAGTGCGTTGGGAAATCGAAGGCACAGGACACTGAGGTCCTGGCTGGCGGGGTGGATCGTCTGTTTGCTCAGCGCTAAGTGCACTGCGGCGGCCCGCCGTGGGCAAGTGGAAATGATAAACATATTTACACAATTTTTGACAGGCGAACGGGTGAAACAAAACACCCGTGGGCGCAGTCCGCCGCTCCTCCAGCCCTTTTTTCTACACTACACACTTGAAACAAGCGAAAAGAAAACCAAACCCAAACTCGATAAATATGTTTATGCGCAAATAACAAAATATTTGTCGATTGCCCAAAAGCGGGTGATGGAAGGGGTGGGACTTTCAGGGATTCAGGGTAGGGCAGGTATTCTAAAAGGCTGGTAAGATACGGAGGGGGGGGTGCAAGGAAGCACCGCAAGCGCATAATTCAATTTTTCTGCTCGTTTTTGCACGTCGCCCGGCACACGTCACTCGAGTCCGTTGGGACACCGAACCGCCATGCTACACCAGCTTAACCCTGCCCAGATGCACTGAGGGAAAAGTTTGTAGGAGAAATAAGAACACAAATACACTGGTAAACAAATTAATGAAAAACATACAAAAGTGAGTCTACACTTTTTCAATGAGTTGTAAACATTGTAAAAATTCCATGCTTAGTTTTTCTTTAATACAGAATTTAAGATTAATATTTAGCTAAATTCTGATTTTCTAAGATAATCAAAGGGCTAGTAAAATACTTATAAAACATTTTAAAACTATATTTTTGTTCCCGATTATCCAGATTTTCCAAAGTGCACGCACTTTGCCAGGGATGCAGCGTATATTAGTGACACGTGGCGAAGGCTCGACCAAGGCGATCTGAAGGTCCCAGCACATGCGGTTTCCGGGTACCGCCCCTCCAACCCCGCCTATATATTTATTTGTTTGTAATTACGCATGTTCTAAAAACGAAATCCCGCCGCACTTGAAGCCGGGAAAACGGGAAAATCGTCTGAGTCTGCTCTTTTCAATGCCCGTATTGTCGCGGGGACACGTGCTTTGGACCGCCTCTCCTGGTTCCTGGGTATTCCCAGCGCATTAGCAACAATACCGGAGACATTTTGGAGTTTGTCAACAGTTTCGCCTTTGGATTTGGTTACGGCTTTTGTCGTTGTCACCGGCGCGTGTCTCTGTCCGATGTCATCTTCTCCACTCGACTCCAATCCGCAGTCAGTTGTCAACTTTCTGGACTGGCTTTTAGTCCCAGGGATTGCCGATTGATTTGGCGTGGGATTTTCAAGAGGGATAAACCATCCATAGACATGTGTTTATAGTATGGGGGGGACATGAAACGAAATCATAAATGTGACATGCCGGTATCTTACTTGGACGGTTTAAGCAGCTCCAACAAAGAAATCCCTTTGACCAGCAGAAAAACCAAGCAGTCATAAATCATATCCTTGGGTGGTTATTCAGCATATTTCGTCCAAGAAAACTTTCTTCTGGAGTTTCGTCAGTTATATATTGCTGTTCCCTTGGAACATATATATTCTCCAAGGCGAGTGCATAAAAAAGTGGGCGGGCAAACCGAGCAGCCACAACATTGAGCCCACCTAAAAGGGCATTCGAAATGAGCTTCTCGGAGATGTGAAGATGGCGGTCTGCCATCGGGAAAGCTTTCGTATTTAATTGAAAAACACTTAAGCTTCCGGTCCGGGTCTGAATAGGTAAATGGAAATGGAAATGGAAATACCAAAGCCAGGCCAACCGCAAGGCTCTCATATGTCCCTAAAAGACCCGACCTCATAACCCAAACTCATCTTCATGGCAAGACCTTTTCTGGTGGTTTATAAAAACAAAGGCCGAGCGGTAAACAAAAACTTTGCATAATTAAAACGCGGCCCACACATAAAAAAATATTCCAAGAAATGATTTTAGTCTGCGTCACACAAAAGAGGAACTTTAAGTATGAAAATTGAATTTGGAAAAATTTCTAAAATGTGTGTGTTTTTCGAGAGAAAGGTCATGATCATAATATATTCCATCCTTAGTTAATTCTTAATATTTTACAAAAAACTAGTGAGTATTCAAGGACATCCGAAACACAAAATTTATTTCTCTGTGCAGGGAAATTTCCTAGGCTGTGCTCAGGTGGACAGGACAAAATCAAAGATGGCATGACTTGGCCACTTACCCTCGAGCGCACGGTTTCTGGAAATTAAGGCAAGCACCAGTTCGGGATTTGGGTCATCCTGGTCGACAGCCAGGTGATTGTGGTGCGGATGTTGCTGCTGTTGCTGCCCACCACCGACCAGGTGAGATGCCTGCGGCGTGGGTGGCAATTGTGCTGCTGCTGCTGTTGATGGATATGCGGCTGATGTTGCTGGTGATTATCCATGACTGTCAGATGCTGTTGCTGCTGCAACGGAGGATGTTGCAGCTGCGGATGCTGCTGAAGTTGATGTGGCTGCTGTTGATGCTGATGCTGAAGCTGGTGCTGGTGGTGATGATGTAGCGGTGGCGGTGGTTTCAGGGTTTGCATCATTGCTAAGGGGCCGTCGATTTGTACACGCGTCGTATGAGTTATATTTATAGGTTTCTTATATCAATTAGCACACGGTATCTCTTTATAAAGACCTATACGGTATAAAGGAATCGGTATTTTTAGTTAGTTTAACGCACTCGCGTACCGTTTTAGCGTTAAAACGATACTCCGCTAGGCGGGATCGCTGTCTGCTCGATAACTGGCATTGGCTCGTACAGAACTGCGGCCCCGTTGACTGTTTTTTTTTTTTGTTTTTCTCCTTATCGCGGCGGTCTCTTTGGGCTTTCGGTTCTTACTGTAGATTCTAGGCTAGCGGTTCGGTTTGAATCGTGCCCAACGAACGGCTGCTCTATCAGTTAAAGTAGCGAGGGACTTGAACAATTTGAATTTGTTTGCGACACCGGGGGGACACTAGACCATCTATCTTTGGGGTGCAAAGTCAGGTGAACTTTATGTAAGTCGGAAAGGGCCAAAGCTGATCAGAAGCTATATATGTGATCAGCCAATATCTATTCATCGTCTAGCACGAGGTGAATTTGCGTGTGGAGGCATATTACTGATGGTCAGTATTATCTATATCAATGAAGAGTCAAGGTCCGTGTGAAAAAAAAACTATCAATGGGTTTTTGTTTTGTTGGTAACTGACCCAAAATAAGCCAAATACAAACAATATGAAGGCAAAACGTTAGGTTAACTTTAGGTTAACTTTAACCAGACATTAATGGTTTCTTAATGGTTTAGCTTATGCTCAATCTTTTTAAAATTAGTTCAAACTATTCATAGGAAAAGGTTTCAGGTTAAATATCATAACAACATACGTGTTATATGTCTTTCCCAAATGTTAATAGGAATCAAAAAGTTGCGAAATCGATTTTATTTTAAAATTAAATTTTAGTTTAAACTATTTCTATTGACACTCACAAAGTTACACAAAGTTTTTCATGGCAATGTACATTACAAATATAAAATATTTGTTATTGTCGTTCATTTGACAGTTCAAAGAACATCTCAGAATTGTATTCTGTTTGTTCACATTGCAACGGCAATGTTAAAACCAACTGAAATTACCCTCTTTTATAATTTTGATTAACCACTTTTACACAAAATTTCAGTATTTATAAAATAATTTTTATTAAAATTTTCGTTTTTTTTGGTAAATATTTTTCTTTTTATTTCGTTTTATTTTGATTAAATTTGCACTCGAATACGATTTTATGCGAACGCCATTCTGGCGACGGCAACGGTAAAGGTAACGGTTTCGTTAACGGAAACGACGACGGCAAATGTGCACCGATTGCGGCAAAATGGCGACGGCATAGCTAACGGTAAACGGCACGGCTAGCGGTAAACGTGGCAGCGACAACCCTGGACATGGCAACACTGTCAGGCGGCTGACAGCGGTTGTTCGTTGTTATTGTTGCCTAGTGGGAATCCCCTATTTGCCGCGCTGCGTCTTTATTTATTTTTTTTTTCGGTTTTTTCTTATTTTTCCTTTTATTTTGCGCACTTTTTTCACGCTTTTGTTGTTGGACTGTGAGAGCTTTTAACGATACTTTTTATGCCGTTTGCCTTTTGGCCGCCCATATGGGTAGGCAATGCGTGTATACGTATTAAAGCGTGCTGGCCGATGTGTGTGTGTTTACCAATTGATCTTAATGTGACACAAATGATATGGTAAAATGCATACAGCCAGCCCTGAATGGCAGGACAACAATGGCAACAAGGCGACAACGCCAGCAGCGACGACATTTTTATGCTTGTTTTTTGGCCATGCGCATGTGTATCACTCTCTTTCTCCGATCCCATACACCCTCTCCCCAATCTCAACAAAAATACCAAAAGCATTACAATATTTGTAAAACGTAAAAACTGTAGACCCCCTCGAAAAAAAAAAGAAAACAACAGCCCAAAAATATATGAAAACTTTTGTTTCCCTCTTCCTCAAGAATTTCTAGCTGCAAAAGTGCAGGAGCAGAAAAAAAGGAAAAAAAAATATAAAAAGAAAAGTGGGTAGAACAAAAAGCCAACCAACGTCGAGCGACACCTTCGTTGGCCCCAAAACAACAGTAAACAGCACTTAAAAGTCAGCAGCGACGTCGGCAGAGGCGAAACAAATATGAGAAACTTAACTCAAAAGTCCAAGTCAATACGCGGCGCGGTCACCAAAAAACAGGGCTTCCAGGGGAAAACAGGCACCGCCCCTTTATATTGAAAATCATTGGAAATCGGTTGATAGAGGCAAAAGCAACAAGAACTAGCTTAAAAGAATTTCCAGGCATGCGCAGGCAATGGCATTATCTTATCGCCCCAGCGTCGCCATTAAAGTGGGTGGGTGGCGATTCTATTCCTAGGGTTCGACATCGTTCCAGCGCCGACGCAGTTGGAAGTCCATGAAGTGCGGGGTAGGGGATTGCCAAACAAAGTTTACCCGAATCACCCTGTTGTTCCATGCTACTGCTGTATCTGCATAAGGTGTTGTCTGTCTGTAGTTTCGGAACCTCTATATCTCTATATGTATGGTATAGCAGCCCTCCATCCCATCCCAAGAACCCCTCAAATGCGTTGCGTCTGCAAAAACGATTTTGTTTTCGCATTTATTTATGAGCCGCTTAGAGCGCGCCAAATACTTTGCCAAACACTTTGAACCCCAAAAACCCCAACGCCATCCTAGAAAACCCCAAATACGCCCGTTCCCAATGGTGGGCCCATCCACCCACAGAAGTGGACACTAGAAGAAGGTCGCTTATGGGCTGGGTTGGGTTTCGCGGGTGGGGGGAGCCAAGCATCGCCAACAGCTGGAATGCATGGGTCGCTACACAAGTTAGTCGTACTTTAACTTCACTTATTAAAACCAATTTAAATCTTTTACAAAATGCATAAATTGGATGGACAATGCATGGACAAATTTATTTTGCTACCACTTAAATTCGTTAGGAAGTAGTTTGTACTCAAGTCTCCAAAGTGTTATGTAAAGTAATTAATGTTCCTTAGTTTAAGTTTTCCTTTAACTTAAATCCTATTGCCAACCATCAACACGAAAACACAGTATACCCTTGAACTTAACGAGTTACCGGGTATAAAAATATATAGGCTAAGAGCATAAAAACGCAGCGTGACCCTGAAAGTGATCGTGAATGGAAATTGCTGATGAAATGCACTCAACGAAGACCAATCCAATCCCATCCAATACAATCCCATACTACATTGTGGTATCCCAGTCGGGTGCTTCACTTCCGCGGTTACAAAATCGACTTTGACTTTCAAATTTTCCAACGCTTTGTTGTGGCTATCTAATGGAGCCGTTAATGGTTAAACACATGAAGTATTTTTGCCAAATGGGCTCGACTTGGGACAGTTAATTGCTGATGATGTGGATGATATGGAACCGGATTGACAGTGAGTAAGAGAGAAATACGGGGATTTAGTAAGCAGTGCTAAAGTTTGGATAACACATTTTAATAGACAATTAACAAGCGTTTTCTTTAAATTTAAATTTTCTTCTTCGACATTTTTCACTTTTGTCTGGCGATCTTGTTTTTTATTTTTCTTTTTTTGTGTGTTTTTTTGTATTTTTTGGTAGTTACATAAACATTAATCTTGGCAATGGGCCAAGCCACAGACGGCGAAGAAGACAAAAAACTTGCTGCCACTGCACATTTTCACACATAGCCGGATTTTTGTTGTTTTCCATTTGACTTTTATTATTGAGATTCGGAGCTCATTGAGACTTGGTTAAAGCGCAGCCAGCTCATTTGTAGATTCGAATGTCAGCGGTGAACAAGTGCGGAACTAGTCGAGCGGATAACTATTCAAATATTTCCCCTAAAAATCGCGCTTTTCTTTGGATAAACTAGGATCAGGATCCATTGTCATGGACTTTGATGAGTTTCGTGAATTTGGCCATGCCTCTATAGAGTTTCTCATTAATTATTTGAGTGGCATACGTGAGAGGTGTGTCTTGGAAAATTCATAATCCTTCAAAACGTACTCATGACACTCTAACCCTTTTATAGAGATGTCCTGCCAAGCACAGCTCCATATGCGGTGATCAATCAACTACCCAAAGAGATTCCCGAACAGCCGGAGCATTGGAGGGAAGTCCTTAAGGATCTGGAGAACATTATCCTTCCTGGCCTCACCCATTGGCAGTCACCGTATTTCAATGCCTTCTTTCCATCCTCTTCGTCGACAGGTTCTATCATCGGTGAATTTTTGATCGCTGGCATCGGAGTCCTTGGATTTAGTTGGGTAAGTGGAATAAAAAAGATAATCATCTTTTAAAGTTACATAAGTCAAGAAAGCAAGTCTTATTTATAATGGACTTTATTTATGGAGTTTGGTTTTTCCTACCCATAATATAAAATATAAATTGAAATCGTCGATTTCGTCGTTAAAAGTCAGAGATGTAACGTTCATAAAATGTAAGTCGTTGCGATTATAAAAATTCAACGCTAATGTGGAAACAAAAAGTGATTGTTGACAAAAATATCTATTACTCATTAACCGTTTATAAATTTATCGCGACACACACATTACAGCTCATTGATCTTAGCATATTAGAATAAACAGCTTAGATAAAATTTTCAAACCGGCACTTAAAATTATATAATATTAAAATTATGGTTCAATAAAAGCAGCCTTACCTACCTACTTTAATTGACTTTAAGAACTGTAATTTGTTTAAGCGTTATTGTTAAGAGAGAAATGCTAAGAGAGCGCTAACTTAACAAAAGAGAGCAGCAAAAGCCTCAACGAAAAGTGGGAACAGTTGGTAGGCAAAAGGTATTTCAAATCTGTGACTTTCTATTAAAACATAATTTATGGTCGATAGGTACTACTACTTAACGATTAAGATAATGTTTATCTAATTTATCCTCTATAATCATATGCAATAATCATTTACGATCGAATAAATTCTATTCCCGACGCCCGGTTTATTCCCTAATATTATAGATTACACACGCTCCGGGTCCTACTGTGCGGAGCAATTAGTTAATACTTTTTGTGGGAATTTATTAAAAATATTCACAACAGTAGGTGTAATTTTAACGTATCTAAATATGATCCCAGAAAGTACTTCTAAACGAGTAATTTGTATTTTAGGAAGTTAATCCTAATAAAAGCCTTAGCACTTCCCGATATTTAAAAAAATATCTTTTTCCATTTTAAAATGTACAATAGCCAGATTTCGAAAAACCGCTGAAGCGACAGCTCTGGAGGCTGTCCAGAGAAGTCGGTGTATAAAAGCCGGCCGTTACCGGCGATCGGTTTCAGAGTGAACCTCAGGCGACTTGGAGTAGCATCAACAGATTCGGAATTGGAATTCGTGTTGGATAAACAAACCGAAAACTGAAAAATAAAACCAAAACAAACAGAACGTGAAAAGTGCAAATAGAAAACGATATTAAAACATAGTCAGCGAAATGGATGCCAAGGAGTTTCGGGAATTTGGCAAGGCGGCTGTTGATTTTATAGCTGACTATCTAGAAAATATTCGCGATGATGATGTCCTGCCCAACGTGGAACCGGGTTATCTTCTGGACCTACTGCCCACAGAAATGCCGGATAAGCCAGAGTCGTGGAAAGAAGTCCTTGGGGACATAAATCGCGTGATCAAGCCAGGTCTCACACACTGGCAGTCGCCTAATATGCACGCCTACTATCCCACTAGCACCTCTTATCCCTCCATTGTGGGAGAGATGCTGGCCAGTGGGTTCGCCGTCATTGGATTCAGCTGGGTAGGTCGGATCGCAGGTGAAATGGGTGGAGAAATTTCGCTTTTTACCATTGTTTTGGCCGGCTGAATGGGCGCCCATTGTGCGCGGTGGGTGAAAGTGAATCCAAGAACTTGACAAACAGGTTGCCAATGCACCAGATCGAAGAGAGTTTTTCACACAAATCAATCGGCAATTGTCACGATATAAAGTTATTGTGCTGAGGCCTTACATGAGGAAGGCCTATGGAAAAATTTGCATTTATATAAAATCAAAAAGTATCAGATTGAAAAGAATAAATTACCCTTACGCTTCATAAAAGACTAAAAGAGTAGTTAAAGAGATGCTGACTTAACAAAGACTACATAAAATTATATTAATTAATATTAATATAATTATAGTTAAACTTATCATATCTATAAACTAATTTACTTCCATCTTTTGCAGATCTGCAGTCCCGCATGCACAGAACTTGAAGTGGTGGTCATGGATTGGCTTGCCAAGTTCCTAAAGCTGCCCGCTCACTTTCAGCACTCTAGCGAGGGACCCGGCGGTGGTGTCATTCAGGGATCGGCTAGTGAGGCCGTTCTGGTGGCTGTCCTGGCTGCCAGGGAACAGGCGGTGGTCAGCTACAGGGAATCTCATCCGGAACTCAGCGAGAGCGAAGTACGTGGTCGCTTGGTGGCCTACTCTTCAGATCAGAGTAATAGTTGCATTGAAAAGGCTGGTGTCCTTGCCGCCATGCCCATTCGATTACTCCCGGCTGGTGAGGATTTTGTGCTTAGAGGTGAGACACTGAAGAAAGCCATCGAGGAGGATGTGGCGGCAGGAAAAATTCCGGTAATCTGCGTCGCTACCCTGGGCACCACAGGCACTTGTGCCTACGACGATATCGAAACCTTGTCCGCTGTATGTGAGGAATTCAAGGTATGGCTTCATGTAGATGCCGCCTACGCCGGGGGAGCATTTGCCCTGGACGAATGCTCGGATCTTAGAAAGGGATTGGATCGCGTTGACTCGCTGAACTTCAACCTGCACAAGTTTATGCTGGTCAACTTCGACTGCTCAGCCATGTGGCTGCGGGATGCAAACAAAGTGGTCGATAGCTTCAATGTGGATCGTATATATTTGAAGCACAAGCACGAGGGTCAATCGCAAATTCCCGATTTCCGACACTGGCAAATCCCACTGGGACGTCGCTTCCGTGCCCTAAAAGTTTGGATTACATTCCGCACATTGGGAGCCGAGGGCTTGAGGAATCATGTTCGTAAGCACATCGAGTTGGCCAAACAGTTTGAGCAGCTTGTGATCAAGGATTCACGATTTGAACTAGTAGCTCCTAGAGCTTTGGGATTGGTTTGCTTCCGCCCAAAAGGTAGCAATGAGATTACGACCCAGCTTTTGCAACGTCTCATGGATCGCAAGAAAATCTACATGGTTAAGGCAGAGCATGGTGGGCGCCAATTCCTCAGATTCGTTGTATGCGGAATGGATTGCAAAGACTCCGATATTGATTTCGCCTGGACAGAGATCGAATCCCAGTTGACCGACCTATTAACGGAACAATCTTTGGTATCTCGTAAATCGGGAAACATGGCGGACCTCGCACAACACTTCCAGATCCATCTGACCTCCGAAAACGCAACGCACGAGAAGTCTCAGTGAGAAAAACGATTAAACTATTTTTATGTATAGGTTGTCTTTAGTTCACATAATAGTACTTAGATTATCACATGTTCATAAAAAAAATGAGAAAAATAAATAAGCATTTCGCACTTAAATTGTTTGGCTTTTGAAAGTGATTTTTAAAATGTTCATAATTGTTCGTATTGGTATGATATAAATATTTGGCTATTATATTCAAGTGCCTTATCATAATAGTTATAAACTTAGCTTAGGTCTAGACTGTAGAGAAAAAGATTTATTTATTTTTAATAAAAAGAAATTTCAAATAAAATTATTGGCGGTTTAATGTGGCCTTAATTTCTGAAAATCTCAAGCTAAAGTATCGATATAATTTGTATGCTCCATTCGATTGTCGCCAAAGGTCAAGAATCGATAGCTTAGGGTGCCACCCCTAGTGCTTACAACAAAATCCAAATTTATCGGACAAAATTATTTCAAAAAACATTTCTTACCCGTTTTGGAACCCAAGGAAACCAGTGCGCTTGCCATGCAATGGTAAGTGAAGTGCCGTTGGTCCAAACCAGCGCATTTGGACTGGCAGACTGCCACCTCAAATGGAAAATCCTCTTTCTCTACCCGCAGTTATAAACTGGCCAGCAGGCGCAGCTTATACAATGCACGGGTGCTCCAAGCGGATCAAATCGGGGAACATCACCATAGTCGGGATCTGGAGGCAGCCCGACAAAATGCCCGGATAGTTGTAGTCGGCGCAGGTCTAGCCGGTCTTTCGGCCGCCCAACATCTGTTATCGCACGGTTTCCGGCGAACAGTTGTTTTAGAAGCAACTGAACGCTATGGTGGCAGGATCAACACACAGCGCTTCGGCGACACCTATTGTGAACTGGGTGCCAAGTGGGTTAAGATTGATGGATCTCAGGACTCAATGTACGAACTCCTGCGGAATACAGAAGGCTTAGGAAAGCAGATTAAGCAACCGGTACGAACTACCTATGTTAAAGTGGAGCAAGAAGGATGTCATATTAAGCCAGCCATGGTTGAGCTTATCGACACCCTTTTCCGGCAGCTCTGCCGCGGGTTTAAGCTCTCCGATCGTGTAAAAACCGGTGGAGACCTGCAATCTCTGGACAATGTGATGAACTACTTTAGGGCCGAAAGCGATCGCATCATTGGGGCCTCCTTCCAAAAGCCGGAGGATCAGTTGGCGGCACGAGAGATCTTTCAGTCGCTCTTCAAGGAGTTCGGAAGCGTTCTGGGATGCTGCCTGGAGTACGTGAACATCGAACACATAACCAAGTCTCCAGTGCAGCAGGAAAAACGCCCGCTATATGTGCCCACCGGTCTTGATAATGTGGTAGATGATCTTATCCAGCAATTGGACAAGCAGCATCTGCAGACGGGCAAGCCAGTGGGGCAGATACAGTGGACACCAGCGCCTTTGAAAAGTGTAGGATGTTTGGATGGCAGCCTTTACAGCGCGGATCACATTATATGCACTTTGCCTCTGGGTGTGCTAAAAAGCTTTGCTGAAATCCTATTCCGTCCCACGCTGCCGCTAGACAAAATGTTGGCCATTCGAAATCTTGGCTTTGGAAATCCCCTCAAGATTTATATGTCCTACAAAAAGCCTATTAGTCGTTGGCTAAAGAGTAACTTGCGACCACTGGGAACGCTTTTAAATTCCTCGCTGAAAAAGACTCCAGAACACAACTGGACGCAGCAGGTGGTGGAGATCAGCCAGGTGCAAAGCAGTCAGCATGTTCTGGAAGTGCGTATGGGTGGCGGGTATTACGAGGAGATTGAAAAGCTACCCGATGATAAGCTTATGGAGCAAATAACCGGTTTGCTAAGGCGTTGTATAAGCAAGCACCTGGTGCCATACCCACAAGAATTATTGCGCTCCAACTGGAGCTCCTCGGCATGTTACCTGGGCGGACGTCCGTACTTCTCCATCAGCAGCAGTGCTCGTGATGTCCAGCGTTTGGCCGCTCCACTTGGCGAGAAGTCACCAAGCCTACTCTTTGCTGGAGATGCAACATCACTTAATGGCTTTGGAACTATCGATGCCGCCCGCTCCAGTGGCATCCGAGAGGCTCAACGCATTATTGATTTCTATCGCAATAGCAAGCACAGAGGTTAAATGGGATCGAAAACCAAATTGGCTGCAAAATTGTACAGTATATTAAAGTAGAAACGCACTAGCCCAAATTTATAGTTACAATTTGTTGTATTTTTAAGCAGAATACATATGTTTTAATTACGCGTAGAACGTTAACAATAAAAGCATTAACAACATCAACGATACGATGATAGGACACCTAAAGTCTAATGTGGCGATGGAGGGCGTATAGTCCTTCTATCTTTTGTTGCGATGTAAATTCCCTAAACATGTCGCATGTGAAAAATGGATTTAGGTCTAATCCGGTTTTAACCATTAGATATTTAACTATTAGTCGAAATACTTAATGGTATCTTGGTCCACTGTTTAACAATTTGTTGTAATTAAATTATTATATTTTATTTTATAATTAAAACCCGGATTAGACCCGTAAAACCACATTACTTCTCCTGTTCCATTTCATCAGCAGCGGCACTGACCTCCTTCCACGAATATTCCATATCCTCGGACTGTGTGAAACGTGAGCAAATGGCCATTCGCAGGAAGTACACATCCTTGATCTTAGCAGGAACCATGTGGATGTTGCCTCGTCCATTGATGCGTTTCAGAAGAGCTTCATTCTGCTCATTGTTTCCCTTCAGTCGGAAGCAGACCAATCCCATGTTAATCTCAGCAGCCAGTTCAAATCTCGAATCAGCCACACAAAGTTCGCCAAAATGTTTGGCAAAATTGCAATGTCTACGGATATGAGCCTGAAGATTCTCCACTCCATACAGGCGAAGAACAAACCAGAGCTTCAAAGCGCGGAAACGGCGACCCAGTGGGATTTGCCAATGGCGATAATCCGGAGCTGATCCCTGCATATCGTGTTTGAGGTACAGAGGATCTACATTGAAGGCGTTAACAACCCAACTGGGATCCTTCAGCCACATGGCTGAGCAGTCAAAGTTCACCAGCATCCATTTGTGAGGGTTGAAGTTGAAGGAGTCAGCTGATTCAATACCCTTCATCAGATGACGGTACTCTGGGCAGATGAATGCAGAGCCAGCATAGGCAGCATCCACATGGATCCATACATTGTGCTTGTTACCCACGGGTCCGCACTCATCCAGGTAATCGAAGGCGCAGGAATTGGTGGTGCCCAGGGTAACCACGGCATAAAATGGAATCAGACCTTCAGCCAGATCCTTTTCGATGGCTTTTTCCAAAGCATCTCCACGCATCCGATGATTTTCCGAAAGAACAGAACGAAGTTTTACTCCTCCCAAAAGACCAGCACGCTCCACGGAGGAGTGAGCTTGATCAGAGCAATAGCCCACAAGCTTGCCCAAGATGGTGTGCTCATCCCACTCTGGATGCAGCTCCTTCACTTCCTTAACCTTCTTTGCCTTGGCACCCAGGAGGGCGACCAATGTAGACTCACTAGCTGTTCCTTGGATGACACCGCCACCCTTGCCGCCGGAGCAGGCCAAGAATTCTTTTGGCAAATCCAGCATTTTGCCCAGCCAATCCATCATGACCACTTCGAGTTCCGTGCACGCAGGACTGGCGATCCAGGTGAATCCGATGCAGGCAATAGCACCACTCAGCATATCAGCCACAATGGCTGGATATGAATTGGCCGTGGGGAAGTAGGCATGGAACTTGGGACTGTGCCAGTGGGTCACACCCGGCATGATGACCCGTTCGATGTCCTCCATCACATCCTGCCACTTCTCCGGCTTTCTCGGGTGCCTCATCCGGAATCAAGGGCTTAAGGTAGCCAGGCTTCACTTCCGGCAGAACGCGTCTGTAATGGAAATAATTGCGTTAGCTTCTTGATTGCATTTACTGCCCCATTCAGGAAAAGCTCCTTACTAATTGACTGTGAAACTCAGTTAGCCCACAAAGCAATTTGGAATTGAGGGAGAATGGGAACCACCCGCAACTTGTTGCCAGTGGCAATAAAAATCAATAGCAATATGTAGCGAAGTGCTGATAAGAAGAATAAAGAAGGAAAAGCTGATAGCGATAGAATTTTATTTTCATTTTTGTGCTATTCTCATCGGAATAATGAACATCTTGCGGGTATTAAAAATTGATTGTTAGAAAGGCTGTAAATGAAACAAGCGTCTAACATTGTTCAGTTGATTTTTCCAACTGATTTTATTTCTTAAAATCATGAGAACTGAAAATCCTTATCTCTAGACCCACGGATCGGTATATCCCTAACCGCGGGAAACCTTTTATAGCACTTATCTTTAAACATGTGCTGACCACTCGCAGGAGGTCATATTACCCACCAAGCGTTCTAGATACTCAATTGAGTTAAGTATGCACGCATGTGCTAGAGTGCAGAACATATGCAGTCCGGGCCCAACAATTTGGTGTATGTAACATGTTTATTGCCATAAAAATAGAAAGGCTCTTATATTTATGATATTAATATATATGTGTTCTTTCTGAACAAAGATGGAATGGTGAATAAATTTGATACCCAAAGAGGTTAAAGAGAGAAGAAATCCTATGGGGAATATTTTTTGTATAAATAAATCCAACAATAATATTTACGCTGAAGTAAAATTTAAAACCTGTTCTCAGATAACAAATATTTTTAGCGACTGGAAATGGCTAAACAATCTGAACAGGCGCTCAATATGAAAAACAATGTAATAAAATTGATTACTTTGCCCACTCAGAGATTCAAGGTAATGGAAACGGAACCGTTAGAATTGCCAAAGAATAATGCAACAACAGTCGTTTTTTGCCCAAGGCCCAATGGCTGAACAATTATACCTACATAAAATGTGACCTTGACACGCCACGCTTACAAAACCTTTTTAATTCCACAATAATTAATTAGTTTTAGGCTCAAGAGCAATTACAAAAAAAAAAGAAACAGTGAAAGTACTTGGCATTAGAGTTAATGGGAAGGTCGCTTTAAAAGCCTTTAAAATATATATAACAATGCAAAGGTCCGATCGGCGAGACTTTCCCATGACTAATGCTCAGATGCTGAAAAACGTGTGCTAAATGTCATTCACTTGCCCGGAACATCGAACAGAACGAACTTTCGAATTGAACGCAAAACGCTGAGGTCAAGCAACAAATTCCATATAAATAAAATATATACGTATCGAATGCAACAAATTAAACTTAATTCAAGCTAATTGAGTATCTTACCTTTCGCGTATGTTCTCCAGATATTCGGCTATAAAATCCACCATTGTTTTGGCAAAATCTTTGAACTCTGGCGCCTCCATGTCGATCTGTATGTTGGTCAAAGAAAAACTAGATTAATATGGAATTTCGATGGTTTTGGAAAGATGACCCTATAGACATACCGAAACCTTGGGATCCAGCTTATCCGCCAAAATGTTAGCTTTACCATTACCATTAGTTTGCTTTGGTTGGTTAGTGTTATTTGTGGTCGATTTGCTCATTTTAAATTAGTTTTTGTTTGGCAATAACAATTAATCAAGAGTTTAGTGCTGATAGGAATAGGATAGGATAGTGTGATTATTTTAAGAGGTGATAATTTTAAGTGCTTATTTGTGACAGATTTGGTCCAAAAAAATTAAGATTGTTTTGGTAGGTTAGTGTTATCTTTAAGAAATTTGCTTGATTAGGCTGGGTTCATTATCAATAAGCCATACCATTGGCGTTGATAGGAAACAATATGTGCTATAATTACATGAGGTGATAACTTTTTGATAGTACTAATAAGTACCACTTGTGGTCTCTGCAAACATCAAGAGCATACTAGTAAACATTATAGTTAATATCTTAAGTTTTCGTTTTCAATGCTTGAATGCCTGGCCTAAGTACATACTGCAGATTAATATGTTAATTAGAATGTTTAATGCATTCTTGCGTTAATTTATACTGGATTATTTTTTTCTCAATTCACTTTTTTAACAACGTAAACAAGTTGGCATTGAGACTGCGACTTGTTGCCAGCAAATAAGCACACAAAAACCTATTTTAATAGATACACAAACATGCAGATACCAAAAAAAAAAAAAAAAAAACTTAGAAATTAAACCAAAGCAAGGCTAGATGCCCAGTTTTAGATACATATTACGTATACGCAGCGTTAGCACCGAAATGAATCTTTTGCATGCACTCATTATGTTGGCCAAGCACTTTAGGTCACTCACCGTGCACTTTAGTTAACTGCCTTTAATTATTTGCACTCGTCGAGCGTTGTTTCCGTTTCAAACTAAATCTCTGCCCAACTTTAGTTAACCTTATAGTATTGTTTGTTAGCTGCAAGTATTTTTTGGTGTGTGTGTTTAATTTGCTGGGGTTGCTGTGCGCTCGACGTTCATCTCTTGACTGAGCGCTGCTCGCTCTTGGACAAGGCTTTTAAAGGCAGGCCAGCAGCGCTGCCGTTTCCGCAGGACCGGTTCAGCTCTAATCAGCAGCCGCTGAACTTCAGAGGCGGTTTGTAAAAATACATTCTGCACTTGCCCTGGCTTGATTTGTGTGCGTTCTTTGCGGTGGTTTTGTTACTTTTACGTTATTTGTCAATGACTCAGTGGGCTGGAGAGTAAACTCGATATCAGAAGAGATTCTTTATATAATATTATATATGATTCCATCATAAACTGTTGTTTTAGTTAAAATGATGAATATATATTATTCTTACTATATTACTGATTACTGATCAAAAAACACATAAAAATTAAATAATAAACGCATTTAATCAGGAAAATTTAAAAATATGACTTTATCCAGATAAGTATAGGCCTTTAAATTAATTTATTTCTTTTAATAAATTTATATTATTTTATTTAAAAATCGATTAATTAGTTAAGTACATGCTAATAAAATACATTATATATAGTATATTATATATAAATATATTATACAGTGTCTCCTAAGTGTTGAGATCATAAAAACGTCGGCTTGAATTCAGCTCACGTGCTTCTCACACTTACCTTAATAAAAGAGAGCGATCAAGACAGGAATCCCCCATCGTGAGTCACTAAAACCAGGGGTTTTCTTGAGCATCGGTAAAAAAAATTCACGCAAAATAAGATAAACAAATTAAAATTCATAGAAAATAAGAGAAATATTCCGAATGGCACAAATTACGCTTATCCAAGAAACTGGTTTTCAGAGCATCACTTATCACATGTGACGTGCTTTTTGAACCGCTCTTGTCATTGTGACGTCAAATATTCCAATCCTCTCACACACTTTCTCATTGGGTTAGGGGAAGTAAGCTAGGTTGAGCCTTTTGAACAAGGAGGGGAAATTCCACTGGTAAAAAATAAGTTGAGTTAAATAATAATATTAAAATAATAATAAATGGAATAGTATTATCTTTAGCTTCGATAAGAAATACCAAGAGGAAATCAGCTTATAAACATATATTGTTTTGTTTAATAATAAATTCAAATTAAACAAAGATTCAAAGTCCTATTTTTTTCAGTGTCGGAGCGATAACAGGCGCTCTGGGTGTACCAACTGTTGCTGAGTGCGAAGGAAGTGTGTGTGCCTGACATTTCAACGAAGCCACTTTGGCAAATCACTTGACTGAATCAACAGATTTATATGCCATGCCAACGGCTCTGCTTTCGATTTTAATGCGTTGGGTGCACCACCCAGCCACCCAACTACCCATCCACCCACATTATGCTCCTTTACGGGTGGCTGAAGTTCGGGTCGATTGGGGCAAAGAATACTACAATTTGATTTATGGCTGACTTGAGATGCGAATGAATAGGAAGAGCGACTATGGCGTTTATATGGGGGTCGATGGCGCCTTTGAGAGGGGGATTACATAACCAAGCAAAAGAAGTGAACCAGAGTGGAGATAAGCAAAGGAATATTTGGAGTATAATAAACGGCATAGCTTAAAAAGGGCACGTATTTGAATGCGAGAGGCTAATTGATAAAAACACTATAAAAATCTTGACATGTAACATTTATAAAAATTTTGAAATTCTGCATAATCGAAATCTAATCTTTTAAATAATGTAATAAAATGGCTTAAATAGCGACCTAACTAAATAACAAAATACCGTCCGCTAAATAACATTCAAAGACAATAAGAAAGGCAGCTTTTGTAAGGTTTAATATTTATTGTTTTTTCCTCATTATGAAATTTGTTTGTGATCTGTGTTTCTTTGATTTACTGGAGTTGTTTTAGCCAGATGCAGATCTTAAGGACCAATTCAGCAGGACGCGCACACGAATGACTCAAACGGAAACAACAAAAGTTGAGCAGCATTCGAAGCGCGCACTGCGACCGGATTTAAAACCCAATCAGGAAGATAATGGAAAAACCGATTACATGAGACAAATTTTGGTTGTTTCGCTTAATATTCTCCAGTCAGTCGGGCGAACGCATAAGAGTAGTGCATATTTCAGCAGAAACAAAATCGAAAAGTACTTAGTAAATGCTATAGGTAGTTACAACTTAACGGAACTAGATGCATCCAGCTACTGCGCGATGGTGGATGGCAGATTGAGCAGCGTGCTCTGTCCGCTAGGCAAATAGGCAACACCGCGAGACCTGGATAGTTGATAGGCGATATCCTCTGCGGCCTCAATACGACGCAGCTCGACCAGACCGTCTCCAGCCTCGCCAAATGACTTCGCCAGCAGACCAGCGGCTTCGGCATCACCTTCCGCGGAAATAATCGAGGCCAACTTCTGTTGCTCGGCCTTCTCTACAACGAAACGCGCCTTCTCAGCCTCCTGCTGAGCAACCTGCTTCATCTCAACGGCCAGCGTGAACTCCCGACCAAAGGTCAAGTGAGTGAGCGAGATATCATCCAGAATAAAACCGAACTGCTTGGCACGTACTGTCAACTCCTGGGAAACACGCTGGGACACCATCTGTAAAGGAGTAATCATAGTTAGTAGTGGTTATAGTATTTTCAAAAGTGAGAGGGAACATTTTATATACCAATTTTTATGCAATTATCTGTAATAAGTGTATAAAAGTTGAGCAATTTAAGTACGTTCCCTTTTGAAGGGCCTTAGTTATTCCCATTCGAAGCATTATAATAAAATTATAAGATGCATGAGACTTATGATATTAAACTGGTTTAGCCACATTTGCAAACCCAATAAGCGCCTCTTAACTAATATCAAAGAATCCCATAGTTCTACCCACCTCACGCTGTGTGATAAGTTCGCCAGCATCGAATTGGGCGACCACAGCCTTCAAAACCTCAGGAGCGATAGAGGGCAGGACACGCTCATCGTAGTCCTGGCCAAGGATCGTGTAGATCTTGGGCAGCTGGTCGGGAATGGGGCGATACAAGATACGGAGCGTGATGTTGACATTCTGCAAGTCCTTGCTGCCCGTAATCACAGGAACGTTTCGGGGCTGCGACCGGATGTCGAAAATGATGGGTCGCTGAACCCATGGGATGAAGAAGTGAGTGCCCTCGCCGACCACGTTCTCCTTGATGCCGGTGAAGCGATCGAAGATGACCGCCCGATGGCCTCCCTCCACATTATATAACGCCGAATTGACAACGCCGCCCAATACGGCCACTCCGAGGCCCATCTGGCCAATACGATTGAAGAACTGAGCAGCCATTATCTTTGGAAAAACAAAAAATTAAATATTTAGTTACTCTTATAAATAATATATGTAAATAAAAAAGCCGACTGGACTTGGAATTTCATCAGTTTTTAGGTTAGAACGTCATGTCTATAAAACAACGTGCTGTTTATGCGTTTTTATCCCAAATTCATCCAGGTTTTCAATCTATTTTGGTCGGCTTACTTTCACACTTACTTATTAAAGCTTATTTGTTTTAAAATTTGATTAAATTATTGTGCAATTTCGCCCTTTTAAATGCAAAAAAACACAAAATCTAACCGCACGGCAAAGCAACTGTTATCGATAGAACAGAGTTACCAGGGTGCCAGAACCTATCGATGCTTTTATTACATGACGGATATCGGTAAATTAAATCCCTTAATTAATTATTTACTATATTTATTAAAAATAAGTTTAGCTCTTAGCTACACAAATTCTTTTTAAGAAAGCCAAATAATTTGTCATTATTGCTTGTAGTTTCGTCAAAAATGATTTTAAATATCACACATAGATGTCGCCACCAAACGTATTTTAGGTTATCGGGTGAACGATTACCTTAGCGCAATTATTTAAAATTCAATTGTTATCAACGAATTGTTTAAAAAATCAATTTCTTTCCGCTTTTTGAAACTGAATAAGTTTTGATATTTCAAAAAAAAAAAAACGAGAATAAGTCAGCTTTCCCATCAAATTGATTTTAATTTTAAACTAAAAACCCCAAAATTATTGCGCCATTTCCGCCCGCCCTGCGACCTTTGGCATCTTTTTGTTCGTTGAATCCTCCAGCTCCTTGGCCTTGTAGTAGTGTGGTGCTACCTCCAGCAGCCACTTGCTTTCGATTTCGATGACCTGTCGCATATACTCCTTGGAAGTAAATACCAACTCATGGTAAAGCACCCACCGTGGCAGCTCCTCAAAAAGCGAGGAGTTTGGATGTATCATCACTGTCTGATTGTGCTTAATGGTCTTGTAGTGACCTCCCTTGGAGAGGCGCGCCACATGGTAAAAATATCCGGCAGTGGCTGCCTTACGAACGTTCACAGTCTCCGGCAGACAGCTGACCATGTCGATTTCCACACGTTGCATGAGTCCAACCAGCTGCTCTCGCACATCTCGAGCTCGCTTCATGGATCTGTACTGAATAAAGTTCTCATAACACCACTGGGTGCTATAATCAGTCTCCGCCCACTGATTGTACACCTGCAGTAAGCTCAAATGGTCACCATGCATGTGATTGAAGTTCTTGCGGGCGGTATCTGCATGAATGATTTTGTCCTTGGGTCTGTAGAAAATGGCGCTGTTTACCGAACAGCATAGCTGCAATGGTTACCATTTCTTCGGAGCATTTGTATCTAGAAAAGGAAGAAGAATATTAAAAAAATATTCACAATTTCTAATTCCTTTACTAACTTTTCACTCGCTAACAGCATTTTGCCCATCATGGGATCCACAGGAAACTCGGCCATTCGCCGACCCAGTTTTGTCAACTCCCCATGGTGATTCAGTGCACCCAGAGCATACAACTGTTCCAAAGCCAATACCAACGTCTCGTGAGGCGGAGGATCTAAGAAGTCAAAGTGTATTAGATCGTTGATGCCAAGAGCCTTAAGCATAAGAACTGCATTGCCCAGATTAATACGCTGGATCTCAGGCACTGTATTATCCTCCAGCTCGTGCTTGTATGCCCATGCCGTATACAGCCGGAAGCACTTTCCTGGCGCAGTACGTCCAGCTCTGCCTGCTCGTTGATTCGCCGAGGCCTTCGAGATGGGCACCACCATGAGCGATTCCATGCCGGTACGGGAATTGAAATTATTCTGCTTGGCAAAACCTGGATCAATCACATATATGATATTATCGATGGTCAGCGAAGTCTCTGCAATATTTGTGGCCAGGATAACTTTTCGAGCGTTTGGTGGAGTGGGTTCAAAGATCTTTGCTTGCATATCACTTGGTAGATTAGCATAGACGGGTATAACAATCAACTCTCGGATTTTAGAGCCAAGCCGCTTAACGCGATCCTGTAAAACCTCTTGGCAGGTCTCGATCTCATCCTGACCCGTTAGAAACACTAAAATATCGCCCAAGGGTTGCGTGGCGTGAATCTGCAGGACGGAAACGCAACATGCATCGATGTAGTCAGCTTCAGGGGCTTTTGTGTAAAAGATATCCACAGGATAGCGGCGACCGGGTATCCGAAAGATGGGCGCGTCATCGAAGAAAGCTGAGAATTTTTCCGCATCCAGAGTGGCGCTGGATATCAGGAGCTTTAGCTCTGGTCTGAAGCGAGCAATATCCTTAACCAGGCCAAACAGAATATCTGTGTGCAAAGTCCGTTCGTGAGCCTCATCGATAATCATCACACTGTAGGACGCAAGATCCGGTTCCGAAAGGAACTCTCGATGTAGGGTTCCATCAGTCATGTACTTGAGAATAGTGCGATCTGAGGTGCAGTCTTCGAAACGGATGCTGTAACCCACCTCGTTCCCCAACTTCACACCCATTTCCTCGGCCACACGCGCTGCCACCGACATCGCAGCCACTCGACGTGGTTGTGTGCAGCCTATCATTTTTTTGTCCTTGGTAAAACCAGCTTCAACAAGATACTGTGGGACCTGTGTTGTTTTGCCAGAGCCCGTTTCACCTTCGATTATGAGGACCTGGTGTTCTTTCACAGCAGCTATCAGATCGTCTTTAAAAGGATAAACAGGCAGGGATCGTCTGGTCTCATCTAATGTCAAGCGTTTGCGTTCCTTTTCCGTAAGTTCTGGCTGGCGGCTAGAGGATTTTTCACGACTTCCTTCTAAAGGTTAAAGCTTGGATGAAATCAATCTGATCGTCAAGGAGCAACTCGTATTCTTCCTCAGCTTTTGCATCCTTGGCACCAAACTGAAAACGCGCAGAGGCTAACTGCTCTGCTTCCCATTTTTTCTGCTCTGAGTTTGGTTGCTTCTCAAAGTCGTCCACCTCGACATATTCAGCTATAGAGATTAAAATTTTAAAACTGATAAAAAGAACATATTTAACGCACATTTCTCGCCCTTTTTCAAAGTCTTGTGGCATATGATAACGCTGTATGCGTTCCAATTCCCTCGCCTTCTCATGCTCCTTGGCAATGTTCAGAAGTTGCTTCTTATACTGGCGTTCCTCCTTTTCTCGTTTGGTTAGTCTAAAAGAAAACCATGTTCAGTAGGCTAAAATTATAATATAAGAAATAATCTTACATGCTCTCATCGAAGAGGTATTCATCATCCAGGATGTCCGCCTCCAGCTCAGCCACTTTGTCATCCTTACGCTTCTCTAGGTACTGGCGACGCGATTGAAGGCGCAGGTGGGGCACTGTTTTATCACGATCCTCCTGCTCCAACTTCAGGCGCTTGGTGGCCTCCTCGATGGCCTTGCGGTGGCCCGAGTTGTCCACTACCTTGCGCGTGCGATCATCATCACGCTTTTTTAGCCGGCTCGCGAACTCATCACGTTCCTGCAGATCTTTCAAGCGCGATTCCTCCTCGCTGTCCGGCTCCTCGGCGCTGCTGCTACTGCTGGCTGTGCGTTTTCTATTTTTTGCCGACATTTTTCAAGATTTCACTAATAAACAAATGGGAAACTGCAAAACCAAAACAATGCAAAAATATTTAAGCCGCTCCGATAGGCAATTCGATAACTACAGGGTTGTCATAATTGATTAGTTTGAGGCTTTATATTGTTAGCCAAGATTTTAAACTCTTCGGCTATATAATTTTAATGACTTCTGGCCAGTTTAAAGCATTTGACAACGTTTTTTTTAGTTTAGGTACGGTTGTAACAATTAGGTACTTTTCATATTTTTATTCATTTTAACTACATTTAACCGTTAATATAAAAAGGTGTCATCACTATTCTTTTAACAGCTGTTTTCAGTTTTCAATTTTTTAACCATGTCGCGCCAGTTGAGTTTTAATCCGCAAAAAGAATATGAGTTAATTGAGTATCCCGGCAAAGTAGTGAATCCGGATAGGATGATAGCAACATTGGGAGGCATTATCAATGTGTCCAAGGTACATATGTTAATGCTGAAAGCCTATTAAAAATAATGTTTCTGATCATGTAAATCCCCTTCAGGTTCTTGGCGATGAAGTAAAACGGTTGGCATTGCATTTCCATCCGGAGAATCCGTACAACAAACCGGCTTTTGGGGACTGCACGGATAAAACTGGTGTCCTACTCTCTATAACAGTTAGGCGTCACAAAAAGGACAAGCAACGGGCGCCAGAATATTTTGTTCGGGTATTGGGCCATTGCAGCAGGAGTTTCACCTTCGAAAGTAAGTTCTAGCTTAAAATTAAACGCAGGGACAATTATCTAATCTTCTTCCTACGTTCAGCTCTTTGTGATTTTCAATATTTGCCTCTTTGGTCGACACCAAAAAGTGATAACGCCTTGGCCGCCCAGGGTCTCACATATGCTTTGGATCAGCTAAAACCAAGGGACACCTCTGATTTGGACTTCTTCAAGTAAGTAAATACTATTAGCAACTAGTTAGAAATTTTGGATATGAAAACCTGGATTTTCCAATAGGCGGCGTCACAATCAGGTCCTGGCTTTGCCCGAATTGTTCACCCATGTGGATGTGGTCTATCAGGGCACGTATCGCATCGATGGCTCGGAGGATGGCCGACATGAAGTCCTGGGCGTACAGTCTAAATCCTCGTACGACAACCAAGGGGTTGTCTCTTTTAATATGATAGACAGTTTTCCGACCCAGGCGGACTCCCAGAGTCTTAAACGACTGAAGGTGAAGTATGTTTCCGATGAACAGTTAGCCGTAGTGAAAAAGCTATTCGATGACTGCCCGATTTGGACCAGGATTGCGCTGCAATATGAATCCGGGTTGACCAACGATAAACTTAAGTGCATCACGCCGTCGTTGGCGTTTTATTTTAGCAATGGTCCCTGGCGGACTTTATATGTACGCTTTGGCTATGATCCTCGCAAGGATTTCAATAGTCGGTACTACCAGACCTTTGACTTCCGACTGCGTTTCAGCACTGGCCTCTCTGAATTTGTATATGCCAAGAAGTTCGTAAAGCAACGGCGCGCAGCGAATGTTTCTTTTGCACCCATTGAGGATCGTGTTTCTGATTTGGTCCAGGATATTGACTATCCCTACTTTGATGAACACAAATTGCCGCGCTCCAGGCAGTGTATGCTGCGTTACTGCGACGTCCGTATGGCAAAGATCCAGGAAATGCTGGAGAAGATTCCAACACCGCTTACCGGCGCCGTGTGCAATGAGCGGACGGGGTGGTTGCCCCCAGGATTCGATGCTCAAGTGCGGCAGATTGTATGTGCCAGCATTAGCGAACTTTTGCGAAATCATTACCGCAAAGAGAATCTGACGGCCGAGGTGGAAGCAGTCACTCAAGCCGACGATGAGGAGGAAGATGAGCCCGAAGACGAGGAGACTCAGGAGGAGGACATGGAACTTGATGAATCACAAGCCATAAGCAACTCAGAGCAATTCGTAGATAATGACATCGAACAGATCTTTGAAAATATCACAAGCTGAGTCGAGTCATCATTGAAGTAACTTTAACATAAGATGTTATGAGATATAATCTCTTATTTATAAAATGTAAAATATATAGAAATCAAGATTTCCAAGCTTATTCATTTGAATGAAGCGTAGGCGCGGCCTTTATTCTTGGATAGTTATACAGATAATTGTAATAAATTTCATTTTTAATAGCAGAAGCTAAGAATAAGCGTTGAAAGGTGTTTCTGTTCTAAATGCTGGCAGGTGGAAGAAAGTCTCTCCCACTGCTTAGGGCTTGCATCTGTCGAGGAAGCGGGGATATAAGCAGACCTCTCGGATGTGGTATCGGTTAAGTAGCCAGCACAGGAAGCGCTCCAGTCCCAATCCATAGCCGCCATGGGGCAAAGTTCCGTAGATGCGCTGGTCCGTGTACCAGTAGTAAGGCTTAGGATCAATGCCCTCGCGGGCATAGCCCTTGAGCAACTCCTCACTGTCGTAGATCCTCATCGAACCACCGACAATTTCGCCCACATTTGGAAGCAGAACGTCGACGCTCTCTGTTAAACGCTGATCTTCCTTGCAGCGCTGCATATAGAAGGACTTGATCTCAGCCGGGAAAACGGCACAGCATAATGGGCTCGTTAATGGTATCGGTCATCTTGCGCTCTGGAGCCTCGGGAATATCTTCGCCGAACTCGTAAAAGGAGCCATCGTCCTTGGTAACGTTGTTCTCCTTCAGCCATTTAATGGCATCCTCGTAGTTCATTCGACGGAATGGTTTTTGCGGTGGCTTGAAGTCAGGGTTTAGCTCTTTAACTAAATAGCCCCAGGGAGACTTTAAAACACGATCCACCACATCGCAGACCAGATCCTCCAGACGATCCAGTAGGTCATCGAAAGTGATGAACGGACACTCAGCTTCCACATGTGAATATTCAGCCAAATGCCGACGTGTGCGGCTCTGCTCCGCGCGATAGCTCTGGGAAATGGTAAAAACGTCGCCCAAAGCGGGAAGGCAAGTTTCCAAATACAATTGTGAACTCTGGGTGAGATAGGCCTCCTCGCCAAAGTACTGCAGCTTGAAGAGCGTGGAGCCTCCTTCCACCTGGGTCTGTACCAGAGTCGGGGGCGTCACCTCGTTGTAGCCACGTTCCTCATAATGAGCACGGAAAGCTTGCGTCACAACGGCTCGCATCTTGAGCACCTTTGAGGTGTTCTCGCCACGGATCATGATATGCCGGTTATCCAGCTGCACATCTGGCTGGGCTTCTTCGTTGAGAATGGCATCAGCTCCACCAGGCGGAGCCAAGCCAATCAGTTCCCAGTAATCCACATTGAGTTCATGGCCTCCAGGAGCGGTCTTTCCCTCGGGCACTAATTTAAGTGTACCAAACAGAACAACAGAGCTCTCCGTGCTCAGGGTAAGGGCATCATAGGTCTGGCACAGTTGATCGTTAAGTACGCACTGCAGGAAACCAGTACCATCGCGAAGGGTGATAAAGATCAAGGATTTGCCCTGTCGTCGAAGGCGATGCACCCAACCGTAAATCTTGACACGCGAGTCCCTGTTGGCGGTACCCTCAAGGATACGAATTTTGCGGGCCGTCGGCAAGCTGGAATCTTCCGAGATCTTTACCTTGCGTGCCTCCTCCAGGTTCTGCTGGCGTTTCTCAGCATCATCCGCCTCACGCTGCTGTTTCTCAGCGTTCTTGTGAGACTCCCTGACAAACAGTTTTTGGATCTTCTTCAATTGGGACTTTGCAGCGGGTTCGAAGGGCTCCGGTGCATTGGGGTCCTTGGCGTCGACGTAAATAGTGGGAAAAGGTTCCTTACCAGCATGACGCATGGCCTGTAAGATGGTTTTAAAGGGTTTGGATTCACTGCCTTCGCCCGACTCATCGCTTCCCTTCTTCTCGGACGTGAAGATAGCACCTGCACATGGTCGTACATATAGACATTGCACATTATAGATCGATGCTTTTGACTCATTGACAACGTGGACGATATAGATGTCTCTGTTTTTGTTATTAATAGAAGACATTCTTACCCAATGTTAACTCAGCCAACTGTTCCGCAGGCATCTTGATTGCTTTGTGACTAAGATATTACTCAGAACTGACCTTAAATCTCGTAAATATGCACACAAATTGCATCAGCTACTTTGCGAAAACGATACTCCTCGCCGGATACTCGACTACTATTTTTGTCACTATTTATACTCGATTTACCGATTAGAGACAAGTGTTGCAAAACACTGATTGCCAAAAGCTAAGAATAGCTAAACTTTTAAATATTCCGCGCCAACTTAATATTGATTATAAATAAAACGTTGGGCATTATAAATAAACTGTCTAAGTTTAACTTAGAGGAAAAGGTAGGTTTAATAAAAAATAGTCAAAAATTGTCAGATCTAACTATAAAAGATAGAAAAAACACTTCAAGCTCTTCCTCTTTACCATTAATCATGTTTGGTATTTTTTAGTACTTTTTCCTGCTATAAGGAAAACGTAAACAATTTGGAAATTAGGAAAATGCCTTCGGAAAACAGGTAAGATGTCCTAAAAATAATCGAAAAATAAGATAACCTAATTGCTTTAAACTTAACCTCCCCAGCAGGATCAAAATTTTGCCAAAGGCCGTGGTTTGCGAGGAGAGCAACCTACGCGGTGACATCACCTTCTCGTCGGGCTGTGTAGTTCATCCGAGTGCAACCGTTATTGCTGACGCTGGACCCATTATAATTGGGGAGAACTGCATCATCGAGGAGTACGCAACTATAGCACATCGTCTAGAACCGGGAGCAACATGGGATGTCAACAATATCCTGAGTATTGGCACACACAATGTCTTCGAAGTGGGTTGCCAAGTGGAAGCTTCGCGAATTGGGGATAAAAACGTTTTCGAGAGCAAGTGTTTTGTGGGCCGTGGTGTTACTGTTTCCAGCGGATGCGTGGTGGGGGCAGGGATTAAAATACACACCAGTCAACTTCTGCCGGAGAACACTATTGTTTATGGTGAACAAGGACTCCAGCGCGAGGCCATCGATAAACAGGGTTCGCAGACCCTACAGATAGATTTTCTCCGAAAGGTTTTGCCAAACTATCATCATCTCCGCAAGCCAAACTACGATCCGAAAAAGGCACGCAGTGTGGTCTAGTTTGTAACATATATATTTAAAAATCCTTCATGTCTCCTCCTTCACTGCATTAAAATTAGACATCTCCTTTTCAAAAGTTACTATTGTATGATCACACAACCCTTCTAGATCCTCCAGTCCCCGTTTAAGTAAATCAATAGCCCTTTCTCGGTGGGATTGAATACGAAAGTGCAGCTTCTGTTCGGTTGGATGGGGAATGGTATAGCCACAGAAATCCACCTCGGGATAACGCGCAATAATAGTTTTCAATGCATTTCCCAACGTATGACCTTCGTTGGTAAACACAAAAGTCCGGGATCCTTCTCCGTTTTTCTCATCGCCAGCCAGCTGTTTAAAATAATAATGTTTAATAACAAAAACGATCTGATGCATATTAATAACTAAAAACCTCTGCCAACGATCCCATTTCAAGTCAGTTTTAATATTTCTCCGTTTGTTTACAAAAAACGTGCCAGGCACATGCCGTTCTTATCGATTAACTTTCCATCGATTGTCAGTCTATCGAAATAGCTAAAATAAGCCCCCAATGAAAAATCCTATCGATATATCGACGTCTTTACCAGCTCTAGTTCTTGACGCGTTCTGACACGGACGCGGGTTTTATTTCACAGCATTGAATTGTGTGTGTTGTTTGTTAATTCGCTTCGTTCTGTGGCCAATTTTATTGGGGGCCAGCTGCGAAATCAGTTTTGTGCGGTGTTGGCCAAAACAAGAAAGAAAAAAGTGTCGCAAACAGCCGCATTAGCATAATCGCATGCCGCCTTTTGCATATGTGTGTGTTGGTTTGGTTTGAAAGCATCAGCAGAAAAGGCGGCAAAAAGAGAAGCAAAGAAGGGAGAAAACACAAAAAAACTGCAACGGCAAACATAATTATTTTCGCAATGCATTCAACGTGAAGTTGCTCCAAAAACACCGACACTCCACCAAAAACGCATACAACTGTAAAAACTGCACTTTATTTTTTCTTCTTTTGCATCAGGAATAAACTGCAATACAGGTTTGTTTAATGCACACAATGTGCTTATTAATAATACCAATATAAATAAGCTTTATTGACCAGTTCGAAATGACATTTAATTTTTTTTTTCGGCCACGCCCCCTTTTGAGTCCCGAAATTATGCAGATTCATGCAACTCTTTTTTGCATACACGCACACACAGGCGCAAAAAGGCAGCTGCCTCTGCCGCTACGCTGTCAACGTTGCTGCCGGCAAAGGCGGAAGTAATGGCTAAAAAAATACCAGTTCAGAGGCTCAACTTAAGCTTTAGCTTTAGCGTTACTTTGCCTGCTGTTCAGTTGTTTTTATTGATATTGCCTATATACTAAACGTTAGTATCCGAATAATTTTAAAAATTCCTAATCAGAGCTTTGCATTTTTTTGACAGCATAATTTTTTATTTACTGTACAATGAAATATATTTTATTATTACATACATATATTAGTTAGTAAACAAAAATTTGAACAGATTTGGTTTTTTTTCCCAAAATTTCTAAATCAACAAATAATTGGAATTATTAAAAATGGGATTACACAGATAAAATTGTTTGTGAATTTTGCAAATTTACTTAAGCAATAGATTAATTGTTCAAATAAATACAGTTTTAAAATGAAATGGGAATAATATGATTCGTGTTATTTATGTATGTACATATATATATATTTTTATAGTTTATCGGGGCCTGTTTTTGAGGTTTTTGAATGTATTTATGTTTATTTTATTTTTGCATAATTTGGAAATAATGTTAATTTTTGGCATGGACATTGGCCAGATGGCGCCTTGCAGTATGCAATGTTAAATTTTTGTATTAACCGTTATCTTGATTACGGATCACTGTTAAATTTTTTTTTTTACTTTCACAATAGCTGTTAGCCAAGATGTACTGTAATTTGTTTCCACTGGTTGCTATGCTCTCTTTCCCTGTCCCTCTTCGCCGTTCTCCTTATTTTTGGTATCCTGCTGGTTCCTTTGCACTCATTTGTTTGGCGGTGGCTCATACACACACATCTCTTGTGTTTTGGTGGTGACTAATGCGGCAGCATGTTCCGTTATCTCATGCGTTTCCCCTCCGCTCGCCCACGCGCTTTTAAGCTTGTGTTGTAATAATCGCTTTGCGTATATATGTATGTATGTACATGAGTGTGTGCTAGTCTCACGTTTCGTTTGGCGCCATGCGTTCCCCCCAATTTGCAGTTGTTGCAATTTGGTCTAGGCTGTGTTCCGTTTCCATTTCGTTTCCCCCATTATGCTGGGCGCCCTTTTTGTCTGTTGTTTTTGTTTTTACATGGGCTGCAGTGTATGTATGTATTTTTGAATACCGGCGTTTTTTTTTTCTGCGTATGTGTGTTTGATGAGAGAGTAAGGCAGCTGCTCTCTCCTGGTCGAAAAAGGGGTTCTCTCCCTTGCTCTTTCTCTCTCCTGGGCTAACTCTATTCTTATTTTTATGGTTTTCTTTTTTGAGTTGCAATTAATTTGGCTTTGTAGTGGTTACAACAAAGGAACTGCATTTAAGCGTCACGATCGTCGCAAAAAAAGGAGAAGATGAGGAAAACGAAGTGCGAAATGGTTCTGGGAATATGATACAAGAGGTTCTCGTTTGGCCCGTGTAAATAAACACAACCACTCTGTATATTGTATACAACGATATTTGGCCCCGTATATAGGGAAAATAACTTCCCTAGCATTTACTCGTAAAACTGATTTGTAATCAATTTCCGCACATGTATGTAATATTGTACTCTAACTTACAATAAACCCAAATGAGCAAAACATGCACAAAAAAAGATACGATTGCTAATTAAAAATGTGAAATGATAGACTTTTTACTATTCGTCCTATTAAATATACAAAAAACTTATCAAAGTTTGCTAATTTCCTGGAAATTCCTATGTTTTGAACGTAAATTTTTGGTTTACAGTTGAACTTGCTAGAATTAGTATAAATTTTCTTTCTGTGTAAGTACAAGTGCAAATAAATGGCAGAGGTGGATGGAGACCGAAATTGTGAGTTCTCCCTGGAGTGGAATATCTTCTACCTTGTGCCATGAATATTGCAGAAATCTACTTGAAATACAAAATAGCTGTCAGGATACTGAGACACAGTGGTCACTTGATAAGAAAAATGTTATAAATAATGAAAGAAAGATATGTAGCTAAAAAGGTATTTTAAAAAATATCTACATTTTACTCTAAATAATTTAAACAAAATTAAGGATTTATAAGGAAAACTGTTGATTTGTATATAGAATGCTTTCGCCGACTGTGCAAGAAATTTCCAAGGATGCTGCAGACATCGAAAGCTAAACGAAACGAAACAAAATAAAATACACAGACAGATGGGGGGTATAAGAATATGGAAGGATGGGGAAATGGTTGAGAAGGGGCAAAGGGGAGCCGAGTTCAACAGCAGACAAAAAAGGCAAAGTGACAATGGCACAAGACGAAGATGGAGAGCACAGTGGAGAACAAGGAACAGACGGAAACACGGACACGACAACGTGATATTCCAACATCCTGTGCAGCGAATCACGAAGGAGGTGGGGAGCGCCATAAAGATGGCGAAGTAGGAGACGGAGGAGAGCAAAAAAAACCTGTCATCTGCTGCCGGCTGCATTCGATACGGGCACCGAATAGGGGGAGGAGATAAAGAAGAAGGAGAACCGACGCAAAAGGATGAAGATGCAAGCATTTTTAGAATTCCCAAAATGAACATAAAAAACATAAGTAAATGAACCTTGGTGGCCAGACAAAATACACAGAAAAATAGATCAATAATTTATTTTTAAAACAAATTACAAATTAAAAAGGTCAGAAAGATGTTGGGTAAAAGGATAAAGTTCAGTTATATCATGATTTTAAATCAAATAATAAGTCGTTAATTTTAAACTAGCATTAAGCTCTATTTCAATCTACCTGCGGGGTTTTTTTTTTTTCTGTGTAAGAAGAGCAAGTCAAAAAGGAAGCTGAGTCGAGTTCAACCCCTCTGCCTCCTCTTCCATTTTGCCTTTCCTATGTGTGCGTGATCGCAGCCCAGACGCAGCAGCAGCGACGCCGGCAGAGAGACATAAAACAAACAAAACCTTCACATGCATTTTCTCTTGTTTCCCCTTTGTTTGGTTTCCTTGTTTATAACCTTCGATAGGATATCGAAATTTTGCAATGTTTAAAAGAGGATACATACCAGGCAGTAAAAATTTCAATTTGCCAGTGGTTTTCCTTTGCCCAGTAATTGCTATTTTTTTGTTTTATATTATTCTTCGGCTGCCGTAATCGGATTTTTATCGAAATTTCAAGTTAATAGTACCAGGTAATATATACTTATCTTCTTGTTTAACTGGATTTTCAATCCATATGGTTATTTCCTTTTATCAGTAAACAAACCTTTTAAGTCCTATATTATGTATCTTAATTTCGAACACAAGTTCTTAAAGTTCTTCCCAAAAACATGTTTAAAGTCAGAATATTTGAAAGAGAACGCTTTTGATTTCCGGCTTGTAGTTTCAGGTGAATAGAAAGGGAAATGGTAAAGGGAAAACCACCAGCAGCAATCCTTGTGGTTTTCAATTGAAATGCATGTTTTATTCGTGCATTATTTGTACATTTTTTCACTGTACGCTCGAAGGGATTTGCATAATATGACCGTAGAGCAGCCGTAAAATGTGTCCAATGCCGTCTGTTGCCATCGCACATATTGCTGATGGGTGTTGATGTTGCTTTTGCTTTTGGTGGTGGTTGCTGCTGTACGCCTCAAAGGACTCACATCACATCCCCTGTGTGTCCTGTGCCTAGTTTCATTTCATTTTCGTTTCACTTTTTTTTTTTTTGCTCTGTTGCTTCCCACTTTTATTGTTGAACTTTACAGCTGCCGCTTTCATTTCATTTTACTTTATTTTTTTCCTCCGTTTTGTCCAACTTGCATTTTTCCCCTCTCGTTGTGGCTTAGGTTATTTTTTTGGCAGGGTTGGTTTTAACTTATATGGAAGTTACAGCGGCATTTTGTATACGTCTGACTTTGATCCCTTTTCCGGGGGGTGGGACCTCAGTCGTCTGGCCACCCCCTCGGCATTATTAGGGAAAGTGTCTTGCAAATAAATAAATAGTCATGTCAGCCATATTATTAATGCCCGGAATGGAAGGAAGCAGAGATCGAATCGAAGGCAGGAGGAAGGTAGCTTAAGGTTTACATTCACATGGGTGGTGGGTGACGAGGGGTGGCGCTAATCAACCCTCTTCGGCTGCCGGCAAAGAAAAGGGGAACGTATCTTAGCCCGAAATACAGGAACACCAAATACAGTATTCACTTGAAATAAAGGTACTAGTACTTTCTATTCGATATAGTTAATATTGTCTTTAGACATAATCTATTACTAAGGTTTTTGGTGGAAATTCTAGTCAGTTAGGTTTTACAATTTTTAGATATTATGTTGGATTAGACTGCTGGTCTTTCTTTTTTACCACCTTTCTAGTATTACTGCCTAAAATTAAAGGTTTTTTACTGATTTTTTTCGTAATTAGTATATCAAACTAATCTAAAATTCAAGAAAATGCAATAAATGTTAGGGACGTTTGGCGGGCAGTTCACTGTACGCAATATATATATTCAACTACGCATTGCTGTCTGTTCGCGTTGAGGTCAACAAACTTTTGGGCCAGCCCCCAGCATCAATTCTGCGTGTATAAGAGTGCATGTGTTTGTGCGAGTGCGTGCGGGCGAGTATTGGTGAGTGCGAAAAGTGAACGATTTTCCAGCAGAGCTCAACCCGAAACCCCCGTGTTGAAAACGGCGGACACTAGCACGTTCTACGCATTTTTGTGCATTGACCCCAGACAGACGGAAGACCTCCCAAACCCCGGCCACCCTCATTCCCACCCCCTCTTACACACACACACATGCATGTTTTCCCTCCCCTCACATATACACGCACACAAACATACACACACGCACATCTGTTTGTTTGCATAGTACAATGGCAACCCTCGCTGATTTGATTTTCATATGT